AAGATCTATAAGAAATCTATATCGTTCCAAGTGTATCCCAAAATCTTGACCGACATTTTATATCCCTGCAATTTCATGCCTAAACCCCCATTGTTTGATCCATACGCCTTCGGTGTTTGATGGTGAAGGAATGAGAGTCCGCAGGCAGCATCAAACGCCACGCAAACGCGGTCCCGCCAGGGAAAAGCCTGAACACAGGTGAAAAGCGTGGCGCCGTGTTCCCTTTTTTGTGGTTAGGAACTGGCATATTTCCTGGGGATTTAGCAGACATGGCGATTGAACGTTTCTAAATGAGATATATGCGACCCAACAGGGAGTCGGAGTGTCTCAAAAATGAAGGATTTACCCTAAATCACCAACATAATCGACTAATCTGTTGGACTTGGGGTACCGCATATTCACAACAAATCCACGTGCATGGAACAAAGGTGACTTGGATTGATTGTTTTATGTTCTATCAGCGACAAATCAAGCGGAGGTACATATCAAGCGGAGCAATGGAACTTCAAAACGGCACAACCTTTTTTTGAAATCTGTCAGCCCCAGGTTGCTCAGTCATTAACAGAGCAAAAACTGCCTGGAACCAGGGCAAGGATTTTACTGAATATAAGTACGGAACTTCCGTCTGTACGTACAATCAACCGTCTCCATTGGGCTTTGAAACCCTCCCAAGCCGCCTGTTTTTTGCTGTGGATGCGGTTGAACAAATCTCCACCCTCCATCATTTCATACCTGAGCTGAACATCTGTAGCACTTGTAAAATGTCATGCATTGCAGTCCTTCGTTTTATAATCCGTAATCCCCAAAAAGATGCCAAAAAGTGATGTATATCACTATTTTCATAGGTGTTTACCAAATTCAGTATGATAGATTTTAAAAACAAATGTTTATCATGGTTTATCACTAAAAAAGCTTCATCACTTTTTTGTCCCCCAAAAAAAAGTCTCACTGCAGATCAGCATTTCGGCCTGAGGAGGTGGCACTAAGAAGCGCTTGGGTCCGTTGCGTGCGAAACCCATGAGCACCACCAAGTGGGGATGGCGAAACATGCTCAAGACTCGCACCTAAAAACAACCAACAATCAGGGGGTACCAAAAAAAAGGGCTAGCTAAGTTGGTTAGCTAAGTTGGTGCAAATAACTATCATATAGCTATAATAGGAATAGTATATGATACTTATATGATACTTATAGTTCTATTTATATAGATGGGCTAATAAAACAACAAACATGACTGGGGGGCACCATCCTGTATGGCTAGGATTTGGGGGGTTCATTGGTGATACCCCAAAAACGCTGGATGGTTTAGTTCATGGAAAATCCGAAAATAGAATTGATGATTTGGGGCTACCCGCATTTTAGGAAACCTCCATTTGGGAATCCAAGATAATATCATTGTCGATATATGTTCAAAAAGAATAGGAATTCAAAACCAGAAACAAAGCTGCCTGTAGATCTATTGAAAATAGTGGATATCTTTTTATCAACGTCTGAGTTGTGCTCCTTCCTACTCTCGTTCTCTGAATGTCAGGGTCTCGAAACAAGCATCATTCACGTCTTTCCTACATTCAGACCCGGTGAAGCCAATGATATTGTCCTGACTTGATATGTAGATTTGTCTTCCCTGAAAATATGCCAGGGCCGAAAATGGGGGAGTGGTCATGTTCGTGGGCAAAGTGGTTTGCACGTGAAAATGTCCAACACTTTGCGGTCCTCTATAGGATGGGTTCACGGTGCATTTTACAGCAAACCATGATTGTTCGATGTTTTCACCCGAAAAATGGGGGGTGATAACTTTAAAATTGTCCCTTCAATCAATTCTGGAAGTGTTTTTGTGTTTGTCTGAAAATATGGTATCCAAAATGCCATGGTTTGTTATCATTGTTTTTCGCCACTTATTGATACATATATATATTGCAAACTTCAGATGTCCCCCATTATCAATCATTCTTAGGCAAAAACCAAATGTTATATTGATCCCATTTAATCGAGATCCAACACCAGTTGAAGTTTAATGTTTTACTTCGGATAGGTTTCGTAAAATGGTGGTACCCCGAAATCATCCAAAACTAAACAACCATTTTACCATTTTAATCTCCCACTATCCCACTATACACTGTTGGGGCTCTCCAATTTGTTTGGCCTCGTCTTCAAAGCCCGACTCGCGGGCATTGTCCAAAGCCTGGCTAAAGCAACAGCCAGGGTTTTCCCATGTTTTCCCTGTGAAAAAAAGATTATTTAACAATTTAACGTGATCTTTTTTTAATGGGCCAACGTCTCAACAGTTCCGGAGTAGCCTCGGTGTCAAGATGTGTCAAGTGTCGCATCTCGGGGCACCTTTTTTCGCTCGTCCATGCGCTGGAACAACAAGAGCTGCGAGTCAGCTGTGATTGTTCCAGCCAAAGGCCCGCAGCTGATATCCCCCTGGAGGAATCCTGGCCATTCCAAAACTATTGGTGTCAAGAGTCCCGGTTTCTCCATAAAAATAATGTCAAATAACAAAATGGTGGATCATGTTGGATCATTTAGAAATCATTATGGGCTTCTCCATTTCAAAAAACTCCAAAATGTATGGAAGAAACCATTGCAGGAACAACCGAGCACCGACCGCACGGTTGAGCCCTTGAAACAAACGACATCACATGACATGCTGAGTGACAAGCAAGTGCAAAACGAAGACCTCAACGGCTTTCTGTACACGAACCAGTTAGGGTTCCGAAACATCACGGCTTCAAGCTGAAATGTTCCGAAACCCGAACTGGGTCGGGACAGGGTGAGGTCCAGGGCATCATCTCGCACCAAGACTGCCTGCAAACCATCGCAGGAACCACCGGGCACCAACCGCACGGTGGAACTTTCTGCCTTTTCAGTTCTGAAATAACAGCGCCGCCACACTCTTCTGTTCCGCTGCCCTCACAGCGTTTCAGTTGCGTGTCTCTTTTGTGCATATTGCAGAAGTCAGGGTCACTGAGCGTGGCCACATCCGACCATTGCAGGGGGAGCCTTGTCAACTCTGACAAGGAGTATATAGCGTGCGTTTCTCACACTGTAGACTCCTTGCCAGAATCGACAGCAGTGGACAAAAGGGTCCAAGAAGGCCCTCCACCATCACACGCAAAACACTCGCAACAAGCGGCCTCTTGTGCATCACCGCATCTCACCACCATGCACACTTGACTGAAGCCAACGCCCACCCTTTCTCGATTGTGATAGACAAACTGCTGCAAAATAAGGGCTGCGCGGCTGCGAGCTGAACTTGCCTTGTCCGAAGACGTCTTTGGTCACAGGAGATCCGAAGGTGGCCTTTGGACCTCCTGTGACCAAAGAAGCCTTCTGATGGTCAAGGCAGCATCACATGACATGCTGAGTGACAAGCAAGTGCAAAACGAAGACCTCAACGGCTTTCTGTACACGAACCAGTTAGGGTTCCGAAACATCACGGCTTCAAGCTGAAATGTTCCGAAACCCGAACTGGGTCGGGACAGGGTGAGGTCCAGGGCATCATCCCGCACCAAGACTGCCTGCAAACCATCGCAGGAACCACCGGGCACCAACCGCACGGTGGAACTTTCTGCCTTTTCAGTTCTGAAATAACAGCGCCGCCACACTCTTCTGTTCCGCTGCCCTCACAGCGTTTCAGTTGCGTGTCTCTTTTGTGCATATTGCAGAAGTCAGGGTCACTGAGCGTGGCCACATCCGACCATTGCAGGGGGAGCCTTGTCAACTCTGACAAGGAGTATATAGCGTGCGTTTCTCACACTGTAGACTCCTTGCCAGAATCGACAGCAGTGGACAAAAGGGTCCAAGAAGGCCCTCCACCATCACACGCAAAACACTCGCAACAAGCGGCCTCTTGTGCATCACCGCATCTCACCACCATGCACACTTGACTGAAGCCAACGCCCACCCTTTCTCGATTGTGATAGACAAACTGCTGCAAAATAAGGGCTGCGCGGCTGCGAGCTGAACTTGCCTTGTCCGAAGACGTCTTTGGTCACAGGAGATCCGAAGGTGGCCTTTGGACCTCCTGTGACCAAAGAAGCCTTCTGATGGTCAAGGCAGTTTGTGGCTGTCTACAGGGTGGACGGGCAGAAAAAAACAAACGACATCACATGACATGCTGAGTGACAAGCAAGTGCAAAACGAAGACCTCAACGGCCTTCTGTACACGAACCAGTTAGGGTTCCGAAACATCACGGCTTCAAGCTGAAATGTTCCGAAACCCGAACTGGGTCGGGACAGGGTGAGGTCCAGGGCATCATCCCGCACCAAGACTGCCTGCAAACCATCGCAGGAACCACCGGGCACCAACCGCACGGTGGAACTTTCTGCCTTTTCAGTTCTGAAACAACAGCGCCGCCACACTCTCCTGATCTGCTGCCTCACAGCGTTTCAGTTGCGTGTCTCTTTTGTGCATATTGCAGAAGTCGGTGTCAATGAGTGTGGCCACATCCGACCATTGCAGGGGGAGCCTTGTCAACTCTGAAGAGGAGTATATAGCGTGCGTTTCTCACACTGTAGACTCCTTGCCAGAATCGACAGGACAAAAGGTTCCAAGAAGGCCCTCCACCATCACACTCAAAACACTCGCAACAAGCGGCCTGTTGTGCATCACCGCATCTCACCACCATGCACACTTGACTGAAGCCAACGCCCATCCTTTCTCGATTGTGATAGACAAACTGCTGCAAAATAAGGGCTGCGCGGCTGCGAGCTGAACTTGCCTTGTCCGAAGACGTCTTTGGTCACAGGAGATCCGAAGGTGGCCTTTGGACCTCCTGTGACCAAAGAAGCCTTCTGATGGTCAAGGCAGTTTGTGGCTGTCCGCAGGGTGGACGGGCAGAAAAAAAACAAACGACATCACATGACATGCTGAGTGACAAGCAAGTGCAAAACGAAGACCTCAACGGCCTTCTGTACACGAACCAGTTAGGGTTCCGAAACATCACGGATGTTCCAAACCCTAACTGGGTCGTGTAAGAGGTCAATGACTTCGCCACTTCCATGGGACAGGGTGAGGTCCAAATGGCACGAGGCCATGGCCCGGAAATTCCAAAGCTTGTGCCAGCAGCTTTCGGACAGAGATCAAACAATTCCAACTCTGTATGTCTCAAAATTGGGTACCGTTTGAAACCTGTCTGAAATGAAGTTTAAACAACAAAGATTCTGATTTAAAGTGATATGACCAACCACAATGGTGATGTAATCCGATATTATATAATTACCAACAATATGTGTTCCAAACTGGGTGGGGGTGGGTAACATATGTATACCAATTTTATGGCCATCAAATAATCCGGACATCGATTTTCCACAACCACGGGATCGAATGGAAGTACTCCATTTGCAGACAACCCAATGCTCAAAACAGACAAAACGACCCACCACTGGACATATCAATTTGCTGTGATGTGGTGGCAAAAGCCAGTTTCAACAGATTTCAACAGTGGAAATGTCTCAACGAAATCACTGCGGTTTCATGTGGGGATGGGTCAAAACCCATGCAGCTTTTGTTCATGGATGTCCATCCCCCTGAAAAAATATAGATATTCATCAATACAGTAGCCATATGTTTCTATCATTGCTGGATTTGGTTCCAGTAAATAGGATCTCTCCAGCTGTTTAGATCACATTTCTATAGATAATATGACTTCATATAACCAGGTTAAATCACCCTTTTACATGGTTAAATCATGTTAAATCATGGTAAATCCCCATGTTTGCTGGTTATTTCAGAGTCATCTCCACAGTTTTGCCCTTCGTTCCCACCTTCACAGCGATCTCGGTGCCATCTTGCTGCATCCCACGGTAGACTGCACCAAAGCCACCTTCGCCCATCCGTTTGGACCTCCAGCTGTCTGGGTGGGTACTAAAACAAGAATGATGGGAATGATGGTTATCTAGTGTTAAATGGTGATTTAACCTGGTTGTCTAACATCATAGACTCATAGATTCATATAGATTCCCTAAATAGCCATCATAACCAGAACCCATTATGATGACATTGTTACCCACTTACATTATGAATGGACTGGGACTACCTGTTGATTTGATGTTTTTCACAGAGTTGCAGTCGACCACCGAGTCCCCCTGACGGAGAGAAGTTCTCTGTGGCTCTTTGCAGCTCTTGGAAGGAAAAAACAAGACCTTGGAACTCGTTGCGTCGGAACGTTACGATCGTTCGAAGCATGGTTCAGCTTCATCTCATCAATGAGGATATATAGATATGGGCAAAGATATACAGATATGCAATATATATATATATCCCACAATGGATATATAGATATAGATCTTAAAAATATCTTTGTCCAAATAGATTAAAAAAATGTAATGATAAATATAGACATATAGACACAGATATATGAATGAAACATGCAAATGGTTTTTCCAAGAGAGGATACTCGGATACTCCAAAATCATCACATTTCTCGGGAAATCGATGAGAATCCTGTGTAGTTGGTTGATGTTGGTTGGGGGATTTCGTTTCTCGGATTTCCATGGATTTTCCCTTGGCCAAACTGTACATGTTATCGACAGCGAGGATGGATCACTCCTTGTGCTGAAATGCTTCGGGTCTCATATTTGAATGGGTAAGATTCCGAGCTCCTACACCGAGCGTAAATGCGTCACAACAAATATCTAAAGCAAGGAATAAGGTTGCAGGACAGGGAACCTTGCCAAATATCCTGCATCAACTTGTGTTGATTCCCCAACAACAATATCAACAACGTGCATATCCCAGTCAAATCTCACTGGGAATCGGGTGAAACTCCCTGGCCAAAAATGTTCCAATGGATTCGGATACTGGTTTATTGGAAAATCTACAGGAAGCGGTGAGCCTTTATCCGCAAATATAGAGGGTTCAACTCTGAATTTTCCCATGATCCAATTCTTGGAATGATTTTGACCACGGCACATGTTCGCTCATATCAATGCTTGAGAGAGATTGCTAGAGATTCAGTGCATAGCTCAAGGTTCGGATTTTTCTTGTCCATTTCTTCACCCAGCGGCCCAGTACTTTCTCGAAAAGTTCCCTCCGGGATTGAAAAGTAAGCTAGTTGGATTTGTCTGAAAATAGAGTACCCCGGGTACCCCGTTCCAAAAAAACACGGCCATGAAATCTCCTGGTTCAGCAACATAGCTGTAGAAGTGGATGTTCCCCTAATAGGGGTATAAATAGCCCATGGGCCCATGGTTTTGACATAGGCTTCCAAGCTGTACTTGTTCAAGGTGGCATCTTCGGGTTCCTTCTTACCACCTGCAAAAGAGGCAGCACTACAAATATTACCCAGCAGCACACTGGGGAAACCCGGGGGCATCCAATTCTGTGCAGGTGGACTATTTTTTTCTGTGGTTTGGAGGTTTCAATCCACGTTGGACATGCAAAACATGACCAACATATACCAACATGACGTTTTCAGCGAATCTTTTGCATCATTTCGCTCGTCATCTTTGACTCTCTGCAAGGACTAAGAAATGTATGAGGACACCGTGTTTTACACCCATGGATCTCCTTGTTTTTGATGGTTTAAATCCCCAGATGATTTTGAACCCCTCTTTCCTGCCTGTGAATCCCAACACCTTGGCGCAGAGGCGACCCCATGTTACAATGTTGTGAGTCTGGAGTCTGGGTCGGAATCCCAAAAAATCCGGAAAAATGACCAGTTTCCATATCATATATCCTCTGGCTCGTGAATTTCGATACGCAGTTTCAAACGTGCTGGTGATCACCAAATAAAGAGAGATTCTACTGGACTCAACGTTTCCAAAGGCTCAGTGCCGGGCCATGGTGAGCGGGGCAAGAGGAAGATTTTGAGAAAGGTGCTGCAAAACACCAAGGCACTAGCAAATCGCACAAAAAGACAAAGTACAACAGACCCTTAGTGTACGACCTGCAATTTTTTCCGCTGATTAAGGTTTGTTCCCCACCTGCCAGGTGAGGGTTGTTAGATTTTATGTCAGTTGCCTCCTCGTCCTCCTCCTTCTCCTCCTCCTCCTCCTTCTCCTCCTCCTCCGCCTCCTCCTGCCTCATCCTCCTCTCCTCCTCCTCCTCGTCCTCCTCGTCGTCCTCGTCGTCCTTGCTCAACTGCGACCCGCGATCCACAGTGTTCTCTGCCGGACCTCAACCACGACCATCCACGCCCAGTGGTTCCCTGCCGGACCTCAACCACGACAATCCCCGCCCAGTGTTCCCTGCCTGACTCAACCCCGACCATCCGGCCCAGTGTTCCTTCCTTACCTCACCGCGACCATCCCGCCCAGTGTTCCCTGCCTGACCTCACCGCCGAGTATCCACCCAAGTGTTCCCTGCCGGACCTCATGTAGGAAGATAGAATGCCAGATAGAATGCCAGATAGAATGCCAGAAGATATGTCGGAATATATGCCAGAAGATATGCCAGATAGAATGCCAGGAGATATGTCAGATAGAATGCCAGAAGATATGCCAGATAATGCCAGAAGATTTGCCAGATAGAATGCCAGAAGATATGCCAGATAGAATGCCAAATAGAATGTCAGAAGATATGTCAGATAGAATGCCAGAAGATGTGCCAGATAGAATGCCAAATAGAATGTCAGAAGATATGTCAGATAGAATGCCAGAAGATGTGCCAGATAGAATGACAAATAGAATGTCAGAAGATATGTCAGATAGAATCAAGAAGATCTGCCAGAAGATATGCCAATAGAATGCCAAATAGAATTCAAAGATATGTCAGATAGAAATGCCAATAGAAATGTCAGAAGATATGTCAGATATAAGCCAGGCAGATATGCATAAGATATGCCAGATAGATGCATGAATGTCAGAAGTATGTCAGATAAGAATGCCATAATATGCCAGCATATATGCCAGATAGAATCCAAGAGAATGTCCCTAGATTGTCGATAGAATGCCAATAGAATTCAGAATATATGTCATATTAGAATGCCGAAGATATGTCAGATAGAATGCCAAATGAATGTCAGAAGAGTATGTCAGATCGAATGCCAGAAGATATGCCAGAAGATATGCCAGATAGAATGCCAAACAGAATGTCAGAAGATATGTCAGATAGAATGCCAGAAGATGTGCCAGTAAGAACATGTATAAATGTCATGGTGGGGATCACACGAAGTAAAGTAATTTGAGGATGTTTTTTTATCCATGGGACACACGCCAAGCTGACAAAACCGGTGTGTCTGAAAATAGAGTATACCATAACACCCCCAAATAACCACTTCAATAATAAGGGAAATGATTTTATCAACCTTTGGTGGAATGGGGTTTTCCCATTATTGAAAAAAACACCCGGCCAACACTGCAGCGGTGCAGAATTCACGGCTCTCCGCATCAAGAGGCAACTCTGCTCCAGCTCCATGCCTTGGTCCGATACAGTGGCGTTTCATCTCAAAATTTCTAATGACATAAATGAATTGGACAAAGATGGAATGGGCCATTTGGCATCCATAAAATTCATTAGAATTCCGTAAATCCCAATTCTGTCCAATTGCTTTAAAAAAATATATATACATCCCAAGATATCTATCTCATTACTCAAATTTGTCACAGACAATTTGTTCTGTCGGGTACGAAATCTCATGGTTCATCATTTGGGAGTGTCCATAAATGGGGGTACCCCAAATGGATGGTTTATAATTTATAATGGAAAATCCTACTGCAATGGATGATTTGGGGGTACCCCTATTTCAGGAAACCTCCATTTCAAAGTTGATATCGGGCGCTTCCCATTTTGCAACAAACTGATTTCGTTCCACTGGTGAGTCTCCAAGTCGCGTGTCCTCTGGCGGCCCATTTGTAGACATGATCGCAACGTTCAAGCAGGAAAAACCAGGCGTTCCGGAAATCCGAACGTAAAATAACGTAAATAAGTGAAATGCAGAATGCATATCGTTTTTCCAACATGAAACTGCGATTTATTCAATAACTTTGTGGACATGTTCTTGTTGGAAATTTCAGGTGATATTGCAGTGAAATTTAGCAGGAATGTATCAGCCTTACAGGTCTCCAGCAATATACAGGTGAATTTGTTTCAATTTTCCTGTGAGTGCTGCATGTCACTAATAAGCCAAAGCTCGACAGAATTCAACAATTCGTTCAACGCAAACATCCCGGCAATGGCCCTGAGCCAACAGGTAGCACAACAATCATCAGAATCCTGACACCCCCGGCAAATTTCATCTTTCTTTTGCGTGGATGCCTGCAGCTTTGTCGGTACCTCAGCGCGTCCCTTGATAAAATCAGTTACGTTTAGGACTGACGATCAGAGAAGTTTCATCCTATAAATATTGTTTTCCCGTGGTAAACATACATTACAACCTCAGTACAATGGTCACCAAAAATAATGAGTACCCTAGATCAGCTGGGTTTAGATCAGAAGACTTTGTGAACCCCCATGCGCATAAAGAAACTCAAAATAACTTAAAAACGCATTAAAAAACATTTTTTCACATATTTAAGCATTTTATCCCATTAAAACGCATTTTTTAAATCATTTTGTTCATTTTATCTCATTTTGTATTTGGTTGGGGTACAAATGGGTATATACAAATATAAATTGGTGGATTATATATTATCTGAGGGACATGTGATACCAAACGTGTTATTTCTGGTGATGTTTTGAGTTCATTAATCACATCTTTATATTTTCGGTGTTGTGTGCATTTCTGGTAGGTAACCTTAATAAATAATCTAAAATGTCTCTGTTTATACTTCCATCTTTTCCACCCGTTCCTGATATATAAATAAAGTGTCTTGCCTGTCTTATATAATCCCGATGGGCTTCTGTATGCATTTGTCAATCCGTGTCTGTCTTCTGTTGCTTTTGTGTTGGCTATGTTCCTTTCTTCTTTATACAGTGTTGTATTTTGTCTGAATTGCTCATTAAGATTTCTTGCAAAGTTGTTCATCTTCCCTTCTAAGTCTCTTTGTTTCTTGTCCGTGTCGTTCATCAACTCTTCTCTTCCTTGGCGCATTAATTCATCAAATGCTACTCTACCTATTTTTTTGCGAGTAATTTCATCTCTTCTCTTGTTAATACATGTTCTATTGCTTCACCTCCCATATTTCTCTGAACAACCTCTCTCCCAAACTGCCTTCCCACCTGTCTCAATGCATTAGTCATTGCTATTCTTCCAATTCCTGCTACAACTCCAATCATTTATTTTTATATTAATGTTTGATAAAAATCATTTCTAAGAATAGATCTAATCATGAGTCATGAGTAATAGATAAACATATAAAACTATTTTTGTAGATAGTAAGTATCGCAATGCTCAATCAAAAACTTCATCGGACTTTTCAGTGGAGTTAAACGAAAACTCAGAAACACCAGAGGAAACAAAACTCTATGTAACTGATATTTCTATTCCAGCGGTGTGGAAATCTACAGAGGTGGGCTTCTATGAATATAGTTATGTTGTGGTCTTCAATGGCGATACATTAGTCACACATTTTAGGGTATATTCAGGTAATATTATGGTAAACTGTGATTAAAACATGAAACAATCACAAGAAAGAAATCAAAATGAAAATTAATAAAAAATCTCAAAAAATCTCAAAAAAAATCAAAAAATTCAAAAAATCTCAAAAAAACAATTTAAACATAGCAAAAAAGTAAATTATGTTTAACAAAAAATCTCAAAAAATCTCAAAAAAGCTCAAAAAATCTCAAAAAAAATCAAAACATCTCAAACTTGATGATAGCATGAAAAAATAAAGCTGCAAAACCCCCCCAAAAATGTTTTTTTGTTTTTTTCAGTTTTTTTGATTATATATTGCATGTGATTGTTGAATTTATTGCTGCAGTCATTTGTTTTTCAGGGATTCGCAGGACGCAGCAGCCTCCTTTGCTGAACCCGTTGCCATTGAAGACTACAACATAAATATACTCATAGAAGCCCACCTCTGTAGATTTCCACACCGCTGGAATAGAAATATCAGTTACATAGAGTTTTGTTTCCTCTGGTGTTTCTGAGTTTTCGTTTAACCCCACTGAAAAGTCAGATGAAGATTTTGATTGAGCATTGCGATACTTACTATCTACAAAAAATATTTTTATATGTTTATCTATTACTCATGACTCGTGATAATATCTATTATTAGAAATGATTTTTATCAAACATTAATATAAAAATAAATGATTGGAGTTGTAGCAGGAGTTGGAAGAATAGCAATGACTAATGCATTGAGACAGGTGGGAAGGCAGTTTGGGAGAGAGGTTGTTCAGAGAATTATGGGAGGCGAAGCAATAGAAACTGTATTAACAAGAGAAGAGATGAGATTACTCGCAAAAAGAATAGGTAGAGTAGCATTTGATGAATTAATGCGCCAAGGAAGAGAAGAGTTGATGAACGACACGGACAAGAAACAAAGAGACTTAGATGAGAAGATGAACAACTTTGCAAGAAATCTTAATGAGCAATTCAGACAAAATACAACACTTTATAAAGAAGAAAGGAACATAGCCAACACAAAAGCAACAGAAGACAAACACGGATTGACAAATGCATACAGAAGCCCATCGGGATTATATAAGACAGGCAAGACACTTTATTTATATATCAGGAACGGGTGGAAAAGATGGAAGTATAAACAGAAACATTTTAGATTATTTATTAAGGTTACCTACCAGAAATGCACACAACACCGAAAAGTATAAAGATGTGATCAATGAACTCAAAAATTCACCAAAAATAACACGTTTGGTGGATTACGACGATGGCCATGTGCATGTGGTTTTAGACAATAAAAATCAATTTTCTTTGTTTTTTTCATTTTTTCCATGTTTTTTTCATATTATATCATGTTCCTTCGGTTTTGTTCGTTTTTATCATCTTACTGTTGGTTAGAGATTTGTTTCCAATCTAAACCCCCTCCGATTCAGGGTACTTACTACGTTTAGTGAAATAGGCGAATTGTTATCCATTTTGCGCAATTTGTTGGTTCCCAAATCGCTCCTGATGGGCAAGCTGGAGCCCAGTGCCAGGCGCACTGGGTGGTAGAATTTCGAGGCCCGAAAGGCTTGGATGCATTGTGGGCATCAAAAACATCAAGAACATTGCTGAAACAGCAAAGCGGATTGCTGGTAACCATCGGAAATGACTCCTATTGGGCACTCTTCGGATGCTCCTAAAACATGTGTGAATTTGGTGCGGAATCGTCTGCGGCCCACCAATTTTGCAAGTAGCGGCGCGACTCAAGGGCCTTAAGATCCAAAGGCAACACCATGTCAACCCGGGCTTCAAAAGAATGCGACATGAGGTCAAATTGACACTCAACCTGTTCTACGGGTGACATGCGGCGCTTCCTAACACCAAGACCAGTGAAGATGCCTCTCGAACAAGATGACTGCTTTAGGAACACCCTGATGGTGGCATCGTCACATGGGGATGGGGATGTATTGTCTGTTGCAACAGCGATGCTTCTAGCAGTCTTGACAGGACGATCAGACTTATGCATTGCAGGCGTCTTTGGTGCAGGGACGACTCGGTCCCTGGCGGTGCTCCTCATCGCCATTCAGTCTGTACTACCTCATTTCACCGAGTTGTCTTCACAAAGGACAATGCTGCTGCCAAAGCATTAAGTGATCAGATTGTGGATCTGTCCCCCCCAATCAAGGGACCTTTGGTCGGCTGCTAGGACGGATTGAGGAGGGCAAGGGCAAAGCCTACGCAACTTGATGTGCCGTGCAGTGACCGCAATCGTGCCATTGCCGATCGACGGATACTTATTGCCACAGGAGGGTCTACCACGGCGGAGCTGGGAATGAAATACTCATCGCTCAATGACTGGTTATCTAAAGCCTGGGTGGCCTTCATGGATGAAAGCCAACAATATGGTGGCTACCATGAAGTGGCCTCCCTGGTAGCCATTAAACAGCCCATCTTGGCAGTATGTGTCGGAGACCACCGGCAGACTCCTGGAGGACTGTCGAAAGGCAGGGCGGCATCTGAAAACTGCAAAGAACTTTTGAAAAGACCGCTAGGACTACGAGCGTTGAATCAGGAGGGCGACTATGTGCCTCCAATTCGGCTAGCATCAATCGTAGGGCGTCTGTGGCCTGATGCCTGCTGCCAGGAAGGGCCAGACTTATCCCAATTGGTCAGCTCTGGTACTCAAGGACATGCAGGACCATGGCTCGATGGCCGGAGTGATGAGCCTACACCCTGAGCCTGGTTGACCTATGCAGCGGCCTGGTTGCTGCTGCATTGGCCACCCTTTTAATTGCTACCGCCCCTGAAGAGTTCACCATGCCAGAGTGTACTGATACGGTGGAAGCGGCAGGACTTTCTGGACCCCATCGATGGGGCCTGATCTTGCCCAACAGCTCACAGGTGTCACTCCTCACATACAAAGCCGTTGTGGCTGTGCGGTACCCTGAATTGGTAACCACAGTGATTGCCAGGTGCAAATTGAGCATTTTGTACCCCATGATCAAACCCTGGATCATGGTGGATTCAGAACAATATTTTGGGACCCACCGCGGGACTTGCGGACAGCGGTTGGGGACTTAGACTTAGTCGTGATGCTGGAGAAGCTCAGAGCACGTCACAACTTTGGTCAAGGAGCCACTTGTCAGCTTATGGCTCTCTGTAACTGCAATGCCGTGCATGACCTGCTGCTGCAGCATCGCTTTCACACCTCCTGGAACGGCGGCATTCGCATCTCGTCTGTTTCCTCGGCTGCAGGTGCTACTGCACGCATTGCAGTGGTAGTGCAGACCGGGTGTGGCTTTCTGAGTGGTGGACGCAAAAGGTGCTATACTTGATGACAAAAAAGATTGTTACGGAAGGGCTACAGTAGCCTTGACCAGGGCTATCCAGCTAACGTATGTGCTCTCCCCGTCGAATATGGCGGTGTACCATACAGGCTTCTATACCCTCCGACACCGCGAAGTTCGTGAGCATGGGTGCGCCATCGTCCCTATGGATTCAGCTGCAGTGCTCGAATGGTACCGTTCACCGCTGTGGCTTTGTACGGCACATGAGGGTCACAATCTTCTGGTAAACCGCAACCGAGGCTCTCGAATTGACTTCCTACGGGCTGTCAACAGTAACCAGATCCGCATCCTCAAGGGCCTGCATTTCTTTGATGCGAGGCGTTTAATCCCTGTCATGCTCAATGTCCCGGAATTGCAGGAGAACCATGAGGACGATGATGTCACCTCGGTTGGTGGTGACTCTGATACAATTGAGGACATATAGAAGACGGCCTTCCTTGGTGCCCCTCAATCCCTGGGGCTATGGATGACCCCGCCGAAGAAGAGTTGGCAGGAGCTGCGGAAAATATTGATGTGTTGGTCGAACACGAAAAAGTTCAGCCGCGTGTGTTCTATACCCCCCACAATCTTGGAGCGCTCCCGGATGTATGGCTTCAGGCCAAGCTGACTATCTCGCTCAAGCAAGCCCAGGACAAGTGGGCCCGCCTGCTTGTGGCAGTTGCCCGCGGAGCTGTGGTTGAGAGGGCAGATGGACTTCATCCGATCGACAGTCGAAGCCGTTGCCAGGAGCTTGACCATCCGATTTGCAGAAAATCTTGCCCGCTACCTTAGCCGCTTGATCTGGGGTGGATTTAGTAGGGTCATGTGTGCCTATTGTGGTTTGGTTGAGCATGGTCAAACAGTTAGTAGTACAATGTGAATGTTCTGTTTCAAATTGGTTGAAAATCTATCATTAATACAAAAATATTTTATATTTATACTTATTTGTTCCCTCACCAAGGAGGCCCGCTCGAGAACTCCTCGGGAAGGGGTTTTAAACTGTTTTACAAGCGTCCTGGTCCTTGAAGTTGCAGGGTTTGGTCATGAACTGCCGCCGCAGCGCGCTGACTCAGGTGACAGTCTGTCTGAGTCGCTACTCTGTGACTTTTGACTGAGGCCATGGTGCGTTGAAAGTTGGGCGCTGGTGATAATGATTGCAGCTCTACAAAGGCTGCGACTGATACTGAGACGTTGATGGCATTTTTGCCATCATTTGGACCTGGCGGAGGGCCACTTACAGCTGCCGGTGTCGTTAAACTTTGCACCGCTAAGTTGTGCCTTGCAAACCAAAACAAAACCTATCGCGATCAAAGTTACCCAAAGGCTTTTCCACAAATGACAAACGTGAGTCAAACTCCCGTGCTCTCTTGCTCAAATCACTCCAGACAACAAGCAACGCTTCAACACACACTCTGTTTCTCTCGCTCGGGCTTGAGCCAACGAGTATCGTTGACCATTCAGTTCAAATACTGTTTAAAGGTCACAAAAACCAAGGAGTGGTTTTTGTGCAAACTGCAAACTGGATTCCAGTCTTGACGAAATTCCTAAAAGCGATCCACTGAGGATCAAAAGCTTTCATTCGGTTCTCAAACTGTTGAAATGTTTCCAAAAACTTCAAATAATGTTCGGTTTCCTACAAAAACATTACAACTCACTCAACTACAAAACGAGACGAGTGCAACCGCAGTGTCGGGTGTGCTCGTTGAGTGTCACAATGCTCTATGAGCATCGAAAAATTTCAAAAGTAGTTCTTCCAAACGTGATATTCGGCCAAATCTCAACTACAAAATATGATCTGTCCATTCACAAACGTTCCACATCGAAAATAGCTCATCCACAGATGATACTCGGGGAAATCAAAACTGTGCAACGTCACTGATCTCTCAGCGCTATACCAGGTAGGATTTTCACACCCCCTTTCGATGAGAGGTCAGTATGGTCTTCGTCCAATACGTAGTGCAATCAATGCAATGCAATCCAGAAGGTCATGGCGTCCCATACCAATCCAGATAAAAAGAATGTCTACCCATCTTCCGCGGCTGATGGCGACAAATACTCTGGCATACCTGTTGACGATGAAGCAGCTCCTCGCTGACGAAGCACGGCATCCCTCATAGAATCTCCAGACATACCACATGTACTGCACTTTGAATATCTGTCACCTGCAAGTTCTTGAAAGTACGACAATATCGGGTCAAATGAAACTTCTGTCCTTGTTCAGAGAAAAAAATACCTTGCCTCATCTCAAAAGTCGTTGACGAATTGCGGCAAACCTCACAAATGGAAAGTTCCCGCTTGACCTCGTCGGGATAGCATCCACAAAGACTATCAACGTGATACTCGTTCCAGCATTCCCAACATGCAGTCGAAAAGAAGAGGCAACCGGATCATTCACTGAAAGGTCTGAGTTCGACGCAATTGAATCGATCCTGCTGTCTCACCTGAAATACCCTGGCAATATCCGATCCAGCTTGAATTAAAGCATTCTCCAGTTCTAGATTAATCCTTCCACTGACTGTACAGCGTTCAAATGTTCCACAACACCAGAATGTCACAATTGTCCCCAAAGATCCAATGATTATTCCAGCTGAAGCAGCACACAGAACCATAGCGAGGAGTTCATCCATTGCTGGCAAACGCGGCGCGGCCGGCCCGAGCTACACGAAAAAGAAAACACACACACAACAGAGCAAAACAACTGGAGCGTGAGCGTTCTGATGCAAGCACTCTCTCAACGGAGTTGATAGGCTCCTGAAAGTCCAAACTCAAATCTATACCGTCGTCATCAGGTGTCCTCGTGGCTCAGTTGGTAGGGCGTCGTTCTTGACGGCGCTGACAGACTGCCGGTGGTGGTTCGATTCCCTGCTGGTCCGCGAGTAAGCCTCAAGACCGTAGACCCGCCGAAAGGCAACGGGCTCGGGCCAAAAAAAATCTATACCGTCGTCATCACCTGATTCCTGATGACAAAACCTGAGAATTCACTTAGTGAAGTCTTCACTGAAAACTGTGCCTGACAATCGAATGTCCCTGAATCCGCTGTGAACCATGCAAACATGCAAATTCCACTGAACGGTTCAGCTGAAAAAGAAAACTGTGCTTTCCTGAAGGCAAACTGCTGACATGAAATGCAAACTGATGCAAACTGCAGTCAATGACTAACAAAATCACGATGTTTCTTCCTGTTGATCAATCCAACGAAGTGCAATAGCACGACAGTAGAATCTGGCAAACTTATATGAGTATCTTTCCGTCATCGAATAGTTGACCTGATTCAGTGGAGCGTGGTCGTGAGTACATTTACACTGAAATCTCTTTTCAAGACCTGTGGCAAGTACCTGATTCCGAACATGCAATGCGAAAGACTTTACCAATAGGCTGATCCTGACTAGTCACCAAACCCATGGCACATGCAGCACAATCCGCAAACTTTTGCATGTCGTGGTCAGTCAGAAACTTCTTCAATCTCTCGTCTGACCAAAAACGGTTCTTTTTCGGAGTCACAGCACTACGCATATTGCTCATGCACATGATATAATAAACATATCTCTTGCAATGATCAAGAAGCCTGAAATATGCATCCTGAGCAAGTTTCCTGTCTTTCTTGGATCCTTGACCTGGAACTGCAACCAAACCAGGAGCTTCACCATGTCCTTCTGAAATTGGAGTCGCAACTTCCGCAGAAGCAGCTGGTGCGGTAAATCGGCTCTCACGGGTGCTGATCCTCGGGCTGCAGCATCGTTACGAGCCATTCCTCCACTGCTCTCTTTGCAGAAGGTGTTCGTGGACTCTTCCCACAGAACCTTTGATCTCTCTCGGTTCTGATGCCTTACTGGGGAGGTCCCTTTTTGCGCCTGCTTTTTCTTTCGTTTTGAGGACCAAAAAAGGGCCCCTTCGCGTCATACTTGTACGTGGTTTATGACAAGAAAGGCTCCTTGCTACTTGGCTGTGACTTGGGAAAGGTGCCGGTCTAAAATTCTAAAGGGTTTGTGTGGGGTCATTGTGGTTGGTTCGAAGTAGCCGCGGACATTGGGTCGCCTCTGAAATAGTATTATAGCGGCCCGAGTCCCCAACCAACCTCAAAATCAGAAAGAGAATGAAGCCTCCGAAGGCGATCTCGTCGCGTAGTGGTATAATGCCCGTCTCAGGACCGTGCATAGACAGCTAGCCGCGGATCGATCCCCCCCGGGTACGGGGCCGCGATCGTGACGTGGTAGACGAGTAAGTCTCAAAGTGGTGACCCGCCGAAAGGCACAGGGCGCCAGCCACAAAAAAAATAGAATGAAGCCTTCGAAACCAGAACCTCAAAAAACTTCATCAATCGATTGAGAACCTCAAAATGTATTGGAAACAGCAGTGGGAAGCAAAACTTCAAAAAACCTCAGAAAACGGCCATACCAGAGGGAAAAAAAAAATGCGTCGACCCAGCATCTGGTGCAAAGGTTGCGGGGCAAAGCCAAAGGTGGCAGGCTCTAGGGGTTCCTGACCCGGCTGCCCATACTGTGGAACATTTGGTGCTTTTTTTTCCGTCCAACGCCTTCATGGCTTTCGCCAGGTCGTTCAACATGCTTTATTGGCTGTTGCAAACAACCCACACGAAAAAAGCAGCAATGTGACAGATACCAGTTCATGGGTGAAAGCGGTAAATTGACGCAAGAGGTGATAACTTTGTATCATCTCAGTATGGTATGGCAGTACAACAAAACCAAACAAAAACACCCAGACCACCAGGCCATACCAGCGAGTGAGTGAAGCAACAAAGTACCATGCGGAAACCAGGGATCCCCCCCGCCAGGATCCCCGAGATCACATGGCACAAGCCGACAAGGCATAACAACTCACATAAAGGCACCCCGGAGCAAACACCGGCAACGCCGGGTCGCAGCGAGAGTGGTGAAATGCACAACAGGGTGAGACAAACGGTGAAACATGAACTAAGGTGAAAAGGGAGAACAAGGCATCTACGGTGTTCAAGGCACACTCAGAGTCCGCTCAGTAGTGCTTTTCCAATCATCATACTCTCAGGGGCTTTCCGTGCACATTTCCAAAAGTGCTTGTTGAATGGGCGCTGTGCCAAAGGCAGTTCACGTGACCAACGACCAGAGTGAGGGGGCGGTGAGAGATATCCTACAAGGACATCTCTCATAGCTCCATCATTGTGGTTTGTAGTGAATTGCAGTGCACTAGTACTCTTGCCAATAGTCTTCATGGTATGGAAGATTATGCTCTTCATCAGTGCGTGGCGATATTTGTGCATTAAGCTCTTCCGATGATGTGCTTGCCCCTTTGCCTGTATGTGGCAGCAACAGTAAGGCTTTCTGCGCTTGGCTAACTTCGTAACTGGCGGAAATTATGCAACTATCCAGGATACAGCTCAATTGGCGAAGTTGGCGTATGGAGGCTTCTAGGTCAATGACCCTCTGGGATGGGATGTCCTGGATACCTTGAAGCTTCTGGTATGCCTTGTTGAGTAGTTTGGTGGCAGCATCAACCTCACTGGTTCGATGTGCTTTGACATCATCCTAAGCTGGAAACTACTAGTGAGAACTAGTGTCAGTTAAGTAACCCGCGCCCCACCCCCCCATCCCAAACTACATCTTACTCCAACTTTAGTGCGTAGCAAACCAGTAGAGTGATTTAAATACTCACCATCTTCTCTGGGTCAAAGGTGTGCTGGCCAACCATGAGCACCCCATGGTGACCAGTGACTCCTCTGACATGGGGCTAGGTAGCTTCGGCCTCAGTATCGATGAGTGGCAACCGTGAGAACCTCACGTTGTCCTCTAGTCCTTATTGGAATTGGGTATGTGAATGTGTGGGGGGGCGTGCTTTTGCGGCTCGTTGGGTGTAGCTTCTGGAGGAACTCGCTGTAGCCTCCGTAGGTGCTGCATCATCGCTTGTGTCCGGCTGGATCATCTGGGCAATGACTGGATGGCTCTTCTTATCTTGTATGATTGTGGTGAGCGCTTGGAGGAAAGCATCGGGAGTATTCACTAGCGCCTGGGCTTCTGCAAGTGGCCGATCGAGTACGATGGCAATGAGCATTTC